CCTTCAACCCCCCCCTCCGGCCTCCCTTCACCTCCCTTGCCTCCCCTGACCTCTCCTCACCTACTCTGGCCTCCACTTACCTTTCCTTACCTCCACTCCCCCCCACCCCAGCCTCCACGCTACCAGACGGAGCCGGCATTGTGTAGCCTTATTTGACCATGAGGAGGAAGGAGTCAGGATCCTAGACAGATAAAGGCCAGGTCACGCCCACCTTTAAACCCTGAGCGGCTCCAGCCCTGGCCTGTGCTTCCCCCAGTGAACCCCAAGACCCTGGGGAGAAGAGAGGACACAGCCCTGACCCAGCCCTCGGTAGCTCATGGCCACCCCATCTGCCCAGCCCACATGGGGCATTAGTGCCAGGATAGTCGGCCAGGGCACGGGGCCCTGGGGTGGGGTGGCCATGTTCCCCAAAGTGGCCTTCTGTCCCCAGACACACTGAGGACTCTCCTCCCAGAGGCTAGGAGGAGTGTAAGAACAAGAAGTTCTCTCTTGTCCTAGCTGGTGTGGCTCAGTGGATAGAGCGTGGGCCTGCGGACTGAAAGGTCCCTGGTTCGATTCCAGTCAAGGGCACATGCCTGGGATGCAGGCTCGATCCCCAGTTGTCAAGGGCACATGCCTAGGATGCAGGCTCGATCCCCAGTTGGGGGTGTGCAGGAGGCAGCCAATCAGTGATTCTCTCTCATCAATGATGTTTCTATCTCTCTCTCCCTCTCCCTTCCTCTCTGAAATAAATAAAAATCTTTTCTTTTTTTTTTTTAAAAAGGAAGTTCTCTTACCTGCCGGGCTCCGCTCATGTGGCCTCCTCACCGAGGACGCCTCCCCTGCCCATCCGTTCGCTCCACAAACACTGCCTGTGCATCTCCCGGGCTCACAGCTCCAGTGTGGACGGTGACCGGAAACAGCTGCTGCCCTCACGTTACCCAAGATCTGGCGGGGGAGACGGCTCGTAATCAGATGACTGCAATGGAGTGAGGTCAATGTGTAGAGCTCAGGGGCCTTCCTGGAGGAGGTGACCCCCCAAGCTGTGTCTTCAAGGAGAACGAGGAGGCTAACGAAGGGTAAGACACCAAGCCCTACTAGCTACCTACTTGTTTTGATGTGTTTCCATGAGCACAGGAAATAGTTAGGAGGGTCCACCTACCACTGGTGACCCTCCAGGGGCTGGAGAAGAAGAGGGGCTATTATTTCTTTATTCTCTCTGTTTGAATAATAACAACTAATACGAATACTACTTCGGCCATTTTAGGAGGCAATAGAACGTCAAGGAAAATGCGAGTGAAGGAGAGAAATAAACACTGGAAGGCAAGTTGGTCCGTAGCAAAGAGCCTAAAACTAATGATTTCTCTACAGAGGGAGGAATGACTTTTACCCAACGCCTCTGCTGTTTCCAAACTGCCCCCTAGAGGCTGCCCAGAGCTGAGTGGGGTGAGCAGTTCTCCCCTCCTTGAGGCGACCGAAAAGGGCCGGAGACCACAGGGCGCCCGGGTGGCTGCCCGAGGCCACCGCCCCACCTGCAGCACCTTTACAAACCTGTCATTGTGCAAAGTTTCAAAGCCACACAAAAGTCCCAAGGGCGGGACAATGACCTCCTCGCACCTTTATCCAGGCTCACAGTTGTCCACCTCTCCTACCTCTCCTTACCCCGCTGTGGAGCTGTACTCCTACCCACAGGTCTATTTCTACGAAGCATCTGAGAGCCACTGCAGACATCATGACATCTCCCCCGAAACGCTGTGACTTTCATCCCTTAAGACCAAGGCTGTCGTGAAAGAAATCACCACGCAATGACCAGACCGGGAAATGTGGTCACGGACACAGTTCATATTCCAGTATCACCGGCTATCGCTAGAACGTCCCTTGCGGCACAAGGATTCTTTTCCTCGCCCGGACCTGGGCGGGACTCGAGCACCGATTAAAGAGCAGCTGTGTGCGGGATGCGGCCGCGTCTGTCGGTGGGACCCTGAACCACAAACAAACTTTCCCAGAAGAATCCAGTGGGAAACTGGAGCATAGAGACAGTGAAGAAAAGAAGCATCGGGGGAGAAAGAACAGCTTTTGAATAGTCACAGGGCAGCCAGCTGGAAGGGACTCTGGGCACAGCCATGAGGGGTAGAGTCCCCAGCTGATGCCAGCCCTGACCTCTGGCTTCCTGTCTAAAAGACACAAGCCACACACCTGACGGTGGGGCCCCCGTCCTTGGGAGCCGGCACGCCATGATGCAGAAGAGCGGGGGACCTGGGCTCGCACCTCTCAGCCTAGTCCCTCTGGGTGGGGGGTCACACAGCCACTGTGGGCCTCAGTTTCCCCACCTGCAGGTCCCTTGGAGCAGTGACGGGTGCTCCTGGCCTCCCCGAAGTCTCTCCAAAAAGGGCTTCTGGGAGCGGGAAGCCCCCCACACCTGGCCCACACCCTCATCACCGATCTGGTCCCTGGGCAATCCCAGCTAGACCATGAACCCAGCTCCTGCTCAACGCTTGCTGAGACCAGCTTCTTCTGTCACCCCCGCCACCACCACCACCATGTGTCCCCCACTGGCTACTTCCTCCACCTCTGCCCCACCCATGCAGCCCCACCTGCCCCTCATCCACAGCCACCCTGACCCAGGTCCCTTCATCCTGCGACTCCCAACCAGCTTCTTCTGTCACCCCCGCCACCACCACCACCACCATGTGTCCCCCACTGGCCACTTCCTCCCCCTCTGCCCCACCCATGCAGCCCCACCTGCCCCCTCGTCCACAGCCACCCTGACCCAGGTCCCTTCATCCTGAGACTCCCATTACTTTTCTGAGGATCAGAAAACAGTAAACTACATTCGCAGACCATCCTTGGCTCCCCCTGCCCTCGGGGTGAAAACCGAACTCCTTGCCTGGAGGCCCTTCCCCAGCTGTTCCTCCCCTCCCCCCCACCATGGGTCCCTCACTCTCCTCACCCGCCAGGCCAACCCACGTAGAGAGCAGCACCCCGATGGGCCAGTGGCGTTCTCTGAGGGACTGCTGAGGCCATGGGGGCTCAGAGAGGTCGAGGAACTGGCCCAAGGTCACACAGCTCAGGAATGATGGAACCAGGGCACAAGCAGGTGAGTTCTGAAACAGGCCCCCTCATTCCACATAGAAAGTAAAATGTTCTGGCGGCACACGGCTCTGTCTCGGGGCGGGAATGGAAGGGACTAGAACAGCAGTTCCAAGGGCGATGGGAAGACCATTGAATACTGTCCCTTTTTCCTTTTCGCTATATTTTCATTAACTTTGCATAGTTTTATGTTCACGGTGGGGAAATAATGTCCAGAAATTGGTAGGCGCTAAGTCAGTGGTTCTCAACCTTCCTAATGCCGCGACCCTTTAATACAGTTCCTCATGCTGTGGTGACCCCCAACCATAAAATTATTTT